ATCTCATTTTTTGTCGAACCGTCGGGGCTCGACCAGGTCCACTTCCTGTGGGGCCGCTTCTGGAAGAAAGAGTTCATCATAAAGAGCCTCTTTCTCCATGAAGTCGGCCAGCTGCTGGCCCCTTGGGTTCCGTTGCCCTATTCCGAAATTCCCTACTTTCAGCTCACTGTTTTCTCTTGTGCCTAGTTTCGCGTTGAAGTCTCCCATTAACACCGTATAGTGGGTTTTGGAAGAATGCATGGCTCTAAAGATATCCTCATACATTTCCTCCACCTCCTCATCGGGGTGTGCCAAGGTTGGTGCGTAAACCTGTATGACCTTCAGCGAATACCGTTTGGTGATTCTGAGTATAAGGTACGCAACCCTCGTCGACACACTCCCAATCTTTACAACGTTGTTAACGAGAGACTTGTGGACGATAAATCCGACACCTCCTTGGGACAGATGGTCGCCCTCCCGGTGATAGAACAAATTGCCGGATTCGAGGATTACCGTGTACTCCCCCTCTCTTCGGAATTCGGATAATCCTATGACATTCCAGCGCAACTTGTCTATCTCTTCTTCCAACTCCACAATCTTCTCGGTGTATGAGATCTTCGAAATAAAAAAATATTTAATTTTAGGTTTAATATACTCTTTCAGGAATTTTTTAATTAAATCCAAATTGTGAAGTCAACTTCCAATATGTTTTGTTTATCCCTAGACAAGTTTTTAACCGAACATTCATTTCTGTTCCAGGTATGAACGAGTATTTGATTTGGCTTCGCATCAATCGCTTCCTGAAGAATTAAGATTCTTGCTGTGTCTATGTCTTTAGCCGAATGTACCGTATTGTTACTACTGTGTCCTTCAGAAGCTGTGGTGGTGCTACTATTTGGAGATGGTATCGGATAGGGAGATTGTCTACATGTAAAGAGGAAATACTCAACGTTTCCGAATCGGATGATACTGTTACTACGTCCCCCGCCTGATTGGAATTACCTAGCTATACAATTTTAGAGACTACATTGCTTAAATGGCGTTGTAGTTTTTTTTTCGTTTTTGTCTATATTCACTTGCATAGAAACATCATCGTTATCAGTTAAGGCGTTAATCTTAATTCTAGATAAAGCATCAGCGTTACAATTTTGTTTCCCGTTCTTATATACTATTTCGTAATCAAATTCCGATAGGCGTAACTTCCATCTAGTTAGTTTGCTATTCGGTTCATTATTGGAATTTAACCAGGCTAAAGCGCGATGATCGGTGTAAATTGTAATTTTTTTAATATATTTTTCATATAAGTAAGGGCGGAAATGTTTGACCAAACGATTGCCAAAAGTTCTTTTTCTATTGTGCTGTATATCGTTTCAGCATCGTTCAACGTACGACTTGCAAAAGCTATAGGCTTATCACTACCGATAGGTCCCTGCGATAGAACTGCACCGAGAGCAAAGTTCGACGCATCTGTGGTGAGAAGAAACGGTCGAGAGAAGTCAGGATATTGTAAAAGTGGGGCGTTTGTTAAAAGCTCTTTACATCTTTCAAATGCGTCTATATATTCTTTTGTAATTTCAATTTTGTTTTTCTTTTTCAGACAAGAGGTAAGCGGTTGTGTAAATTTTGCGAAGTCTTTAATAAATTTTTTGTAATATCCTACTAATCCGAGAAAACTTTTTATTTCGATGGCTGTACGCGGTAATGGATATTTTAGTACTGATTTAATTTTTTCGTCATTTGGTTTCAAACCCTATTTTGTAATAGTATGACCTAGATATAGAACTTCTTTTCTCAAAAATTCACATTTATCTAACGTGACTTTTAAATTGGTTTCTCTGAGACGATCAAAAATTTTCCTTAATTTTTCAATATGTTTCTGAAGACTAGCTGAATACACAATAATGTCATCGATGTACACTAAGCAATGGAGACCTTGAAGGCCTCTTAAGATATTATACATTGCTCTCTGAAAAGTTGCCGGGGCTGTCTTTAATCCAAACGGCATGCGTTTGAATTCATAGTGACCGGATTGAGTTGTGAAATCTGTCTTTGGCCTATCAGCTTCATTAACTTCTAGTTGGTGGTAGCCACAAGGGTACTAAAATATATAGATTTGCCTAACTTATCAAAAAGATCAGTTATATTAGGTAACGGGTATTTATCGTCTATTGTATTCTCATTTAATCGCTGATAATTTATAACCATTCTAAATTTAGGCTGCTCGGATGCATCTAGTTTTTTGGGGACTAAGTGAACCGGTGCGCTCCAAGGTGAGTGAGAATTCTGGATTACGTTATCTTGAAGAAGTTTGTCTACTTGTCTTTGTACTTCCTCGTTTTGGGAAGGTGGGTGGCGATACGGTCTGATATATATAGGATCTTTGTTAACTGTTCTAATATTATTGTTGGCGACGCGTCTATAAAACCATTTCAATTTATTAGTTAACCAATTACGAATAGCTTCTTTTTGAAAGCGAAAATTTCAAGTCATAATATTCCAATAAGAAAACGCTTAGTTGAGTCTTAAAGAAGTGTCGAATTAATAATTCGAAAGTCTTGGGTTCGACTCCCAGGCCGGACTAGTTCGTCGTTTTCTTAGTAATATTTTCTTAATAAATTCATAAAGGGAATTTTTGAGATATAAGTTATGTCTCCGGGTTCAGTTCCCCGGTTGAGACCACCTTTCCAATAATATTGATAATTTAAAGAAATATAAAATAAAGTTAAAGACCAGGATTTATTCCCGGTCGAAATGATCACTTTGTGAATAAGTGGAATTAATGTAAATAATTGCATAAGCATTGTCTTATATAAGTTTGATACGTTTTGTATGAAAAATAAAATATCTATTTTCAATGTTTGGTTCATAAAATATTTTCTTTGTGTTATCTGATAAGAACATGATAACTGATAACAACTTTGATAACTGATAAGAGATTCTTATCGGATATTACCTTGCCGACAATAGGGGTCGTGCAGGGATTGATTGCTCATCTTGTGATTATGGACAGAAGATTTTTATTTGTTCTCTCTCGCCTATATAAGGTTTTCTTCTTCATCGGACCGTAAAAGTCACTGTTGGACATGGGCATCTAATGGGCACAACAACAATTATCTACATTATACATGAAACAAACTTAGGTATGTACATAATTGGGCACAGCAATGCTGTAGTGGCGGTGTAAGAATATCCACTACCACATATCGTCCCGTGAGAGTCTGAGATGGGAAACAGCATCTCCCTGATAGCAACCCAAAATAATAGACAACTGTTGCCAACCCGCCAGCCAAGCGTGCCCTATAGAACTATCTATGGGGAAGCCTATGTTCGTGGACTTTTATAAGGTGGGGAAAGTTTTTTCTTTTTCTATTTGAAAATTGTATTACGAGTTTAATGATTACAAATATTATGATGTTATATAGAAGAAAAATGTTTTTGCTTAACTGAATACAATTATCATAAACTAGAAAGAAAAAGTAGACAAGTTTAGTAACTTTGAGTCTCAAACAGGAGAAAGCCTGAGTCTACATGGCACAAAGATGTCAATAGATACCTTATAGGATATGGACAAGTGATTAATAGGGCATTATCCATAATGCCCAATATGAGTAGGCAATAATAATAATAATAATAATGGTCATTTATTTCAGGCTTTTTACACCCATTTCAAATATCAATAAATGTTAAAAACAAAATGAAAATATAATTATAAGAATACATACAATAAATAAGATAAATAAAAGACAATTCAACTGTAATCATAGGTTAATACTAAAAATACTAAAATTGCCCCCAAATGGGAGTTCGTTCTATATATTTAAAGTTATTGTCGCGATGCACGGCACGCCAATATTGTAGTATGGGATTCTCTGGGCACTCGTAGCACACCCTGAGGATCTCATTCACGGAATCACGGATGCAGGACCAAAAAGCTGCAACCCGAAATCTAATAACGGCGAAGTAATCGGGCACCCCAGCGTTGGCAATGTGATGAAAACTATTGTAATAATTAAATTGACCAGGCTTTATGAACAAAATCTCGTTAGTTATCAAAGTTAAAAAAAAGATCTAAGAGAACCTAACCTAACCTAGGTTAGGTTCCTTCACATTTTTACACTAGTTAATTTCAAATTTGGGACATTATTAACTTATTATCTTAAATCAAATATTCAAAATGACCAGACAATATGATAAATGATAAAGTTTAAATCAGTATTAATTACATAGCCCAATTTAACTTGTCATTATTCATATTGCTCGGGCATTATAAATAGTGCCCTGATTATTCACCTGGTCTGTAACATATAGATAAATAAATTCTATGGTTATATAAATCAAAAATAGTCTTCTAAATGTTTCTTTAGACTTGTAAAAAACATCTCTCAAATTATGATGCTAAAAAGCAAGCATTTTACTATAATTAAAAAAACACTCACTGAGCAACTATCATGTATTAAGTTACAATAAGTAGGGTCAAAGCTCAAGCTTTTATTTCTTACATTAAATATAACATAGTACATGAGATCAAAATGATACAGTTAAAAATTAAAATGTCTATTTCTTTATTTAATATTAAATCACTCATCAAAGAAAATTCGTTTTTTAAAAAAATACATATTCTTATGAATTATTACATACATAGAACCATTTCATTTTATAAATGCACAAACACAGGTTTCACAGATCATACTGCCTGTATAAGTAGCATAAAAATAAATACATAGAAAACATTTAATTCATAGCTTTTGCTTTGTGTTTGTATTGAATAAAAATGTGATAACGTTCCCATTTCTTAATAGATTCAAATATTCTTATTGTGTTAGTTTAGATTCTTTTAGAAATTCCTGTTCTTTTAATGACATGGTCAACAGGCATTAACACATGCTTTAATCAGCTTGCTTGTTATTCCAATGGTACAAATGAGCAAGCCATTGCAGGTTGACACTGGGAAGTTGCAGGGCAAGGGTAATCAGGAACAAATTCCATGTACGGCTAAAGACATGTTGGAGAAGTAGTAGCTTTTAGGAATCTTGTGGAATTTTTTCTATAATTTGCCTAACTTGCATTGCTACTATGGGATTATCAGTACAAATATCAGTTACAGTATAAGGGGGTAATAACAGAACATTTCCGATAACTATATTTTCTTCTGATTCTGACACTGGTAGGAAGTTCAATTTCAACCACTCCATGATCTTTGATTTTCTACTTATGATATCAATTTTAGAATCTTGTTCATCTAATTTTTTAAATGGTGATATTGCATCACAGCCCTGGTTACTTTCAGTAACATTTATGATAGCATGACCAGGTATTATGACAATCTGAAATGTACTTTTATGTGGTACTGCAAGAATGATACTGAAATTGAGAAAAAACAATTATGTTCTCATCATCAAAAGCCCACATACAGTCCATAATATGAAGTTTAAGACTGACTGCAATAATATACAGAACCTATCTACAAAAAGTTGTAAGAAAGGATGACAACCCCAAAATACTGCTGCATTAAAAGAAATTTTCAAAATACTACCTAGTAGCCTTTTGTAAATTGTCTTGTGATATAAAACAATCCTCACAAATTCTTATAAGAAAATAGTACAACCGGTGTGTAACCAACGATGACTTCATCATCATCATCATTACAGCCTATTTAATTCCACAGCTAAACACACATCCCCCTTGATGAATGATGACTTAGAGCCCTTGATAATACTGACCTCATATGTATCTACATACTCATACTCATGTCTGTGAGGTCTCATATAAGCTCAATCACTAAACAGCTGGAGAAGGCTATGCTCCTACTTTATCTGAATGATAGAGACTATACTGAGGAAGGCCACTGTAAGAACAGTGTACCTGACATAGCCTAACAGATCAATAAGCTATTGCACCACAAAATGACAACGGAAAGAGAAGAGGCTCTAAATGACAGCCTCAGTCCAATAACCGAATACTGTAATTAACTATAAACGGCTACCAAAAGTGCAGCCCCCACTTGATGCTATGAGAAAACATAAATGTTTCATGTTGTTGCAGAATTTGGGGAAGCCCATGTTTAGCATGTTTAGAATTGTTATTTGGCTGTGTTGAATACAATATATCCTTCTGTATCATGGCATACCATTATTCATCATCTTTACAGCCCATCAGAAGAAGTCGGTGACAATAGCATAAAAACAAAATTAATTATTCAATGATTACATTAATATATCGGACAAGGTATTTACCTGTTAGAAATAGGATCAATCGAATGTATGTAACCTGAAAATGAAGTATTTCTGATAAGATGTATCATACAATATTTATTAACAAGGCGAAGTAGGGACTCTGGGTCTTCTTTTAGAATTAAATAGGTACCAGACGCGGATTGAATTTCGTCCATTTATTATGTTTTTAAACATATAAACTCTTATCGAATTCGAATCACAAACTTTGAATTAGGGATGCTCGATGATCATCGATGTCAAAAATTAAAACATCGATGTTTTAACATCGATGTTGCCACATGTCAAACATCGAAACATCGATGTCAATAAACCCATAATCGATTATTGGGCACTTGCGAACACTGCGAACCCGCGAAATCAATATCAACTAAATCTTGCATCTCCTCTAAAATATTTAAAATTTTGAATGATTCCGAATTCCTGAGCGCATACATAACCTATTGTGGTGTATCAAGTTTAACTGTCAAGCGTCAATTGTAATGTCGCAGTTGTCACTGATTTCGCTTTGTTATTGGTGTCGTTGTCGGTCGTCTATTTCTTTGTCGGTTTTCTTTTGAAAAAAAAAACCGATGGTTGATCTTAAACAAGATCCAATGCACGTTTAGAACAATGTTATTAGTTCTACCTATCTAAAATTAAAAAAATAAACTTGCGGTGAGATATTTAACCACAATCGCTACATCAATGCCATCTGAGCGGTTATCCATCGACTTCAAAAAGGAGGAGATACTTAATTCAACTGTATGTTCTTTTTTAAAGTCTCATAAGTTTTTTCTGGGTGAACCGATATCCATGACTCTTTTTTTTTTTTTGAAAGCTGGTGATTCTCATGTGGTCCCATATAAATTCGATCAAAGTCTGATCAATAGTTTTGGAGTTATCCTTAATAATTTATATTGAAGTCAATTGTACAAAAATTTTAATTTTTAATTAGTTTCAAAAGCTGGCTCAACTCTTTATCAACATAGATACAAATTGAAAGGTACTTCTTTGTCAAAATTACTATTTCTTTAATTCATCGGTAAAAATATTGAACTATATAACAAATGAACTAGATATTTGTGAACTTCTTCCAGTTTTTTTTTTTAATTACTGTTTTACACTACATTGTTTATTAATTTCTTTTATTTCATTATTTATAAACTATGAACAACATGACTTTTTTATTCATCCAATTTTAACCTATTTAATACATATGCAAATAACATCGATAATGGCCAACATCGATGTTTTGAGTAGGATAAACATAGAACATCGATGTCATCATCGATGTTTTTGCAACATCGATCATCATCATCATTATCATTACAACCCTTCACAAGTCCACTGCTGAACATAGGCCTCCCCCAAAGAATGCCACAAAGCACGGTCCTGAGCCATTTGCATCCATCGACTTCCTGCATGTCTTACCAGGTCGTCACTCCATCTCGTGGGGGGACGCCCTACACTTCGCCTACCGGTACGAGGCTGCCACTCGAGAACCTTTCTTCCCCATCGGTTGTCGGTTCTTCGAGCTATATGGCCGGCCCACTGCCACTTCAGCTTACTAATCCATCGATTACATCGATCATCCCTACTTCGAATTCACTCGATGTTTACAATACGATGCATCGAATCGATCCGATGTTTTGGAAAATTATTGATATATTAGATGTATCGATGTAATTTGATAAAACATAGACCCAATGATATGGAATTCTGTATTATGGAGTGTAGAGTAGAAGGAGAACCATCTTATAAGGTGCGAAAGTTGAAAAAGTGTCCCAATATATACTGAAAATAGAGGTTCCAAAACCTACCACAATACCGCTGGCGTCTGAAAAACTACGATATGAATATAGCTGTTGTAGACGGAGTGAAGTCAGCTGAATTAAAATATTTAAAAAATTTCATGACTAGAGTAGTTAGTAAAATGCCAGTTAATAAAATGCCAATGCCAGATGTTTTGGAAAGTTATTGATATATTAGATGTATCGATGTAATTTCATAAAACGTAGACCCAATGATATGGAATTCTGTATTATGGAGTGTAGAGTAGACTACACTCCATATTCTGTATGTATGTGGCCGAGACAGACCAGACGATTTTTTTTAAATTCTCTTTAGCACAGTGTTGCCAACCAGCCATTCTTTGATTTCGCTTAAGGGACTGACAGCTGCCAACTAGCAACACCAACAGGATTAATATTATAACATCTAAGGCCGGCCACGTACTTACGGAATGCCGTTTCGGGATTCCGTTTCGATATTCCAATTCGGAATCCCGAACGTAGCCAGTCCATATTCTCCGCTAGGAGTAAAGTATTCTGTGGTCCATATAAAGTATATGACCCGTCACACACGTACGGTAGCTTTCCGTTCGATATTTTGTGGGCAAAACGGGGTTCCGTTTGTGTGTGGCCGACCTAGTACTACTGTCATATACTTATACAGCGCTTCACTCTTCTCAGGGTGAACGAAAAAAAAACTACACATACAACAATAATCCCAGGTTGTCCTGGGATTATTGTTGTGTATATATATGTATATATGTACCTGAGGGTGCCGACCTCACGAGGAAAAAAGAAACCTTTATAGGATCTACTAGTTGACCCGTGCCCGCTTCGCTGGGGGTTTTTTCAAAATAAAAGATAGCCCAAAAGAAGCCCCTAAGCTACACTTTCCCTGAGCAACATAAACGCAGAGATAATTTATAATAATATTTATCACTAGGCAGTTACTCTGAAATCGCAACTAAACATGTATTATTTAATGCAGTTAGGCAAGTTACTTAGTCTGGTTTTATTTTTATGTTGCTCATGTTTGGGGTTCCATATAACTGATTCATTGTGAGAATCAATCAATGAACAATGAATCAATATTTCACTCTATAATTATTAAATCGTAATGTGTTGGTATGCATATAAGTAACATTAAAAATATATTATATTGAATTATATATTTTTTCATAATATATAATATTTATTTATTTATATATACATGCGTATATATATATATATATATATATACATGTGTGTGTGTGTGTGTGTGTATGTTTATGTATATTTGTATTGTATATGTATATTTATGTAAGTGGACACTTTGACTACCTCTATTTCCTTCAACTATCCTTCAATAGGCCTGCTGGAAGAAATTTCATCATGAAATAGGCAGTGCCTTTGTACATAATTATGTTTTTACCATTTTCCTATCGAATTATGTGTGTACATAAACTGTTAAATAAATAAATAAATATTGCCTCATTAGTCTATGTCGCCATGTTGAAACAATTTTATTAAGCCGACACTACAGTCTACTTCGACACGTAACTATGAACTGAACATTTGGCCAACGTGTGATCGCTGTTTGCGGCTTGCGCCAAATTTCTTTGATTTGTGCACGGAAAACCGACACTATACGGCTTGTGGGCGAGTGTTGGCCCAAACGCCAAATACACACAAAACGGCCCAGTACACGTTGGCTGAACGCACTCGGCGAGCGCGCTCGGCCAACGTGTACTGGAGCGGCTGGAGTCATAAGAATTTTTCGTCACTACCCCTTGTGTTATAGTGTAGACGGCTTTAGCGGCGAAATAAGGCAGTGTGATGGAATAATATCCATCTCCCTCGCACCTTTTCTTATCTTGCCATGAAAGAAATATTATTTTATTTCAAATGACGCGTCATTTTAATAGACGCTAGTAATTCATTATTTGTATTTGTTAATCAATAATATAATACCTACGTTTATCAATAATAATATACTACGCAAGGAACTTCGTTCCAAACGACTGTTCCACGACACTCACGCATTTTTTATTTAAAAATAAGGCAAAATGAAATTAAACAAATACAACATGAAATACACAATACACAATGGCACATCGTAGGGTATAATAATAATAATAACCACTAGAAACTCCATCCGCCGCTCGCGCCTACTACTACTACTGATTGCCAAGCATTTGGATACATCGCAAACACGTTTGTCTAACACCCTTTGATTTGTGCACAGAAACCGACACCGACACCGATCACTGGCAAACACCAACAAAAACAGGCAAACACCCATTCACACGTTCGTGTTTGTAGTTTGGTATTCGCTGTTTGCCGTTGTTTGCCAAGCATGTGATGCCGGATATAATCGAGAATCGATTCTAGTATGTTCGATTTGATTGGAATCAGAGATCTAGATTTTTTTAAAGTGAATCGACACGCCTAATATTATGTATTGAGATGAGTATGTTTACGTGAGTCTTTATCTTACAATAAGTCTGCAAGTCACATAATAATAGCTAAGTAGCAAGCTGCAATAGCACTAAAGTATAGGGTACCGCACAAATTATAAAGTTGTATGGGGTACCGTTCCCGTTGCATTCCGTCTTAATCATTGTTTGGTCTAAGGATAAAATTTGATTCTATGCGATTACTTATCGTATTCCGTTTTCAATTCATAATCTTATTCCATTTTATTATTTTTTTGTGTTATCATTTATGGATATGAGCAGTTGAATGACACGAATAAAAATGTAATTACAATTTTTTTTCATGCTGGCAAATAAAATGGGAAGTCCCCGAAAGCACAAATGAAGTCTTGACACTATAATTATAAAAGCTATGCGATTGACTTAAAGCATATATTTATTTGTCATAATTTTCTGTTTAGTAATGTACATTGTAAACTTCGTATTCGTAATCATATTCTTATCTCTCCGTTGCGTTGTCCATTCCTCCATTACATTCAGTGTTATCTCCAGACTTCATATTGTTTTCTACGTCGTTGTTTCATTCTTACTGTTTTTATTATAATAAATTAATTAATTTTGGTTAGTGGTTATTGTCGTAGGCTGTTCTGTTGTGCACACTGTTTTAAAGTCTACACCTTAAAAAGTAAGTATTTAAAGAGCTTAAATGTTTGAAAAAGTTAATTATGTATTATATTTCAAATGCTTCTATTTTGAATTGGTTTCTTATTTTTTCATTTCGTGTTTTGTGTAAACATTAAATACCTACGTTATGATTATGTATTATTTTTACATAGAATGCACTGCTAGGTAGCTAAGTACTTAAAGTTAATTAATTATTATAACTGGTCTATTTGTTTTGGATTCTTCTGTATTTTTATTAAGCCTCTTATTTCTCATTTTCTTAAGCCTCAGTTTGAAACATCAACCAATATTGCTTTTTAATTTATTATGCTAAAAATGCTAACTGCATAACAACAAATATAATATAATTAACGCCATTTTTACAGCTGAAGATGGCGAAAGCAAAAGTGGGTAAAAAGTAAGTAGACAATGACGGATCTCTATATATATATATGAATAAATTGATCAATTTGTTTAGCAACATCAAGATACCTTAAAGATTAATTACCTAAAATTTGTTTAGTTCATAAAATAAGTCTGTATTTGCTACTAGTTTTAAGAGTAGCTCCCTTCCTCCTGCAATCATGTGCATTATAACTATCCATCATTAAACTTGAACTAATTTATCAGATTTTAGCTAGTTAATTTTCACATCTTTAATAACATTATAAAAGCAACATCTGATTATGTTATATAATAAAATAAAATGTAAAAAAGCTCACATAAACAGGAATGGAATAGTTAAGATGTATTTTTATTCTAGAATAACAGGAATTGCAGTGGATTTACCAGAATGTCCTGTGTGCTTAGAGACTATGTCTGCACCAATCTTCCAATGTCAGTCGGGACACAGTCTTTGTCATTCCTGTTCTAAAAACTTGTGTCCTGCAATATGTCCCATATGTCGCCAACCTATGACACAAATGAGAAACTGGCAACTGGAAGAAATTATTGCAAAGGTATGTTTTTACTTTTTTAGAGAGACATTATTTTTTAACTGTATTTTTAAATTGACATTTGTTCCAGGCAAATGTACCATGCCCTAACAAGTCTTACGGTTGTGTATACACAATGACTTCTGAAGGTGTAGATGAACATCTCAGGGAGTGTATTTTTCGTGAAATGGTTTGCCCTCTCGGAGCTGTTTTTGGCAAATGTTCTTGGACTGGTTAGTATTAAGCTCATAAATATTGTTATTTAATAAAACATTTTAATTTCATATATTAACATGAACACTACACATTGAACAAATTACACTTAGGGATTTTATTGGATTTCTTTTTAATAATATCCTCAAGACTTGGTTCCTGTGGCCAATCTTCACGGTGTGTGGCCATCTGTGCAGGACAGGATTATAAAGTGTATATGCAAGCATAGGTGATCTATTTTCCCACTCTCATAGTCTGATGGGATGATAATCCGACACGATTGGAGAGGGATCAGCCCCTGGACCTATATGCTTCCCAGGCACAGGGGTAAAACATCACCAACTTCTCTGGGCTGCTACTGAGAATTTCTTGTTACAAACATTCAGTAACATATTTTTGCCCGATCTGGGATTCGAACCCAGGACTTCAAGATTTGCTACAAGTTTACGACCATTAGACCAATGAGGCAGTATTTTTTTTATTGCATTCTTGACCATATCCTTTTTTTAGTGCAATCTTTTTTTAACAGTTAAACTGTGATGTCAGGTCTCATCAACACCTCTGTACCCCTGTGACAATAAGCACTGCAAAGCACTTAAAATGACAAAAGTTAAAAATAAGTTAATTATAAAATCCATAGAAGTATCACATTTTTATAATGTTACCATTTTAAATTTTATTAGGTAAGCTTAAAGAGATGATGGATCATTTCAAAGATCGTCACCCTCAAAATTGCAATATTAATACAGAAACTGAAGTGGAATTTAATAACATTTCAATTCATGAAGATGAGCGATTTGTTTACTTGGTATCTCAAGGAAAATTACTTTTTATTGTTACAATGAAAATTGATACACTGCAAAATATTGCTTATTGGGTAATACAGCACATAGGAAGTAAGAATATGGCCCAGCAGCACATTTACGAAATACACATCACTAGTAAACAAGACAACAGAAGAAAGGTAGTATTTATAGATCACTGCTTTAATGATTCCTATACAGCAGATGGTGTGTATCGTCTAGGAAAATGTGGAATATTACCTTTAAAGGTACTTACACATTTTATTTTAAATAAGAAATTTTCATTTCAATTCTATATTAAAAGAAATCCAGCTGGACCCAAGAATAAAGTTGAAAAGATGACTGGCACTTATGAAAATAAGCAACCATTCAAGGGCTATAAAGGTCCTAAACCAAAAGGTCCAAATAATCAACAACATAGAAATCCAACACCTAAAAGTGGAAGATCTAAAAGTCCCTTTAATGCTAGACATTAAGGTGTAAAAAAGCTTATTAATAAAATATTGCAAAGTAAAATTAGATAATGATTCAATTCATGAAGATGAGGGATTTGTTTACTTGGTATCTCCACATAAAAACAAGGGTTTTTACTGTCGCAATGATGGAAATTGTATAATATATCATCTAGGAAAATGTGGAAATTTACCCTTAGAAGCTCTTACATACTTTTAAATTCCAGCTGGATTTAAAAATGACTGGGTGTTCATCTTAAATTTATAAGCAGAACGCTTATTTATAGTTTTAAGGTATGGGTACACAAATAGATTGGCTACTATCCTCTCTACCGGCACCACGTTTACAAAAAACGACTTGTGGCTGTTAACATTAATGTTTTCTTATAATATGTTAATTCTACTATTTGCATAAATGTCTATCCTGGTGTATTAAGTAATCAGTATTATGGTAGTGTCGGTATTAATTATTCGAATAATGATTTTAAACAAAATTAAATTTTGATATAAATTATATTTTTGCTGTTTTAAAATAATCACCTATTTTTAAAATTATAACTAAATATTTTTATAATAGTAAAAATATCTATTTTCTGCATGTTCTAGTTAAAGCTTCGTGTACCTAAAATAACATACTTTTCTCAGAAAAAATTGTAATAGTATAATAATTAACGAGATTCTTTATTGTTAGATAGGCAGAAAAACTGGCTCGTGACATGAAATATGAGATATAGTGATATACTCTCACGTGAAAGCTAATTGCAGTATTCTTTTTTTAATAACAAGTTTTTATAATAACTAAAATCCAATGTAATGTTCACAGTAGCTCTAATTACAAAATTGAAACAAAACTATCTCAATATAAACAATGAATAAAAAGGGCCTGCTCTACCTATATTTTATATCAATTTCTTTCTTTTGAAATAAAATTTCCTTGCAAGTTTCAATATTCTAAAATGTACCACAAGAAATTTAATTTACTTGGCCTATTAGCCTTCAATTATGAGTAGTTAACAATAATATGTGTAATCCTAATTATATATTTAATTATAGGTTTAATGTGGTTTTTACACAAAGATAATATTAATTGCTTGTATTGCTTGCTTGTGATATCTTCATATATTATTACTGTAAATTATGAGGTTAAATTAGCAGTCTGTTTTTGTTTTATAAATATTTCATAACAATGTTATTTGCATAAATGTTTGATTTAGTACGTTAAAATGTTTGAAATTTTAATATTTTTGAATTCACATTAATAGCTTAGATTAATTAATAGGTATTATCAAATGTACTGTCAGTAGATTAGTTTTGCTAAGATATGGTGGTATATGCATCTATTTGTTTATGTTAATTAATAATATACTATTTTAATTATTGGTGCAGTCATTTATTGAACTTGTTTAACACTTTTTTAATCATGAGCCGTAGTATGTGGAAATTATTTAATTCTTTTAAAGGTCAATTTTTCAATACCCAGATTAATGGGCAAGATAGTGTCGATTTGATAGATAACAAACAATGAAATTTTTAAACGTCCTATCTCAGTCTGATAAGCAATATTTAATGAATAACTCCACTACCAGAGAAATCAGTTAACCGATTCGTTGCGGCACCAATTTTCGACAACTTTTAGCTGTGGCGGCGAACAAATATTTCATGACACGTCGGGCGTGTCAAGCGCCACAGACAAAAATGACACGCCTATTGTGCCATCCGCCATGTGTAAAAGTAATGTTCTTTTTTTACTTGTTTAGACCTAATTAAGTTTATTTGACATCAAACATAAGTTACAAGTGGGTAACTACGTGTTTTTCACGCGTTTTCTTTGAAATTGAGAGAAAGTGACTTTTTTTATGAAGAGATTACAAACCTTTTTTACTATTTTTGTTGTTATAAAAAAATCATTTGTATAAGTAGGTACAGCTAAATCACCCTAGAAACCTTGGTTTTTATTAAATTAAATTTTCACCTAATAATAACATTTGTAAATATCAAACAATGAAGAACCTTAATTTGAAAAAAATAAAAAGGTATATCATTCATTGATATTTACAAATGTTAAATATTATTTAATGTTATACAAATGTAAAAGTAAAGTCGATCTGAAAACGTCTAATTAGTAATAATAGCAAAACAAGTGTTTTCAAAAGGAAAAAAACGCCGGCGCTATACGGTGGCGGATTGACAAAAGACTATTTATTAGCGAACTTTTTTATGCATGAACGGTTTCGAACATTATACCATATCACAAGAGCACATGGTACTTCGTATGTCTATTCGGCCATATGATAATAATAAGACGGAAGTTCAACCATTTTAAACAAAATTAAACAATAAGACAAACGCTTTGTTTTTTTTAACAGGAGAATTTTTTTTACAGAAATTTATTTACAACTAGAGTTTGTGAGCGATCGCAATGAGTGCTATTATTTATTACTTATTAGACAATTTTTCCATAACATGATTTAAAACCCACGAAGTAAAAATAGTACCATGTACACGTTAAAAAAAAGTTGTCAACCCCTAAAAATTTCAATTTTCAAAATATCCAGAAACGAAGCTGCATGCATGAACTACTTGCAAAATAATGAATATTTTGTTCTGGATAAATTTTCCAAAAAAGCAATTTGAGCGAGTTATAACGATTTTTAAAAAGACACGACTCGCGTGTCATACGCCACACACAAAAGTAATCGATGGCACGCCTGGCGTGTCACCCGCACTGAACCGGTTAATCTGATAAGAAATGTATCTGTCTACTCTTTAGAATATTATATTCTCAGAAAAATACCTAAAACATAAAAATAAAAAGCGAAAATAAAAAGTGTAACTGCTTAGTTCCCTACTATTTTATTGCCCGGTTCAGTGCCGATGGCACGCCAAGCGTGCCGTCGATTGTTTTTGTGTGGCGTATGACACGCGAGTCGTGTCTTTTTAAAAACCGTTATAACTCGCTCAAATTACTTCTGTGGCGGTTGACACTCCAGGCGTGTCATGAAATATTTGTTCGCTGCCACAGCTAAAAGTTGTCGAAATCCGGTGCCGCAACGAATCCGTTAAGGACAACTCAAAAACTACTGGTGAGATCTTGAGCAAACATATGGGACCACATAAGAAGCACCAGCTCTCAAATAGAAATCAAAGATTTATCAAAATCGGTTCTCATAGAAACAAGTTCTGAGGTAACATGATGTTTGGGTTATTATCCACCCTGAATAACCCAGATGATTCATAGGTACTTAGTTTTACTTTTTTGGCATGCCACAAGATGAACTGCCATTTGTTTATATTGGTTCGAATTCCATCCAACCAAATTCAGTAGAACTTTGCTTCAAAGGCTGTCAGTTCATTCATTATGCTATTTAATTTGTTTGCATGTTCATTGTTTATAAATAGTCATTGTCTACCATAGTCTCGCTGTAGAGACTGTGTTTTGTGCACATGGTTATTAAGATAAATATCAGTAATTATTTCTATGGTTATATTGCATAAATTATTGGGATTACTACAAATAGTGAATTAAGTAAGGGTCTGCACAAATGAGGGCATTACGACTTTTTCTGCCACCAGGGCGGCGCCACTAGAAAGTGAGGTATAATATTTGACAGATTTAATAGCGGGGAAGTTTCGGAAAATGTAAAGGTTATTGTTTCTTACACTATTAGCTATATTTTATATTAATAAGAAATTAAAAATAAATAAACCAAACCACAGATATATCGAGCCTTTTCAGGAAGAACATCGTAAGCGCCAAAATTCCCTAAAAACGGTTTTAATTATTAACCGCCAGATCAACTGATTTTGAATCTTTTTGTCACTTTGAGTTCGAAGTAGAAATGGTAATTAACTTTTAATTACGAAATTTTCATCGTAAGTTACAACCCATTCAGTTTTTTTAACGTAACCTCCACCGTCTGACAGATCGTTAGTATAGTACCTGTCGCTTACGATATAATCTTAGGTTAATAATTTTATTGCAAACATCCTACTTGGCACTTACGATAATAAATTATGCAACGTAAGTGAAATACTTGTCGCTTGCGATAGAAATAAAATGCGTTTTGCGTTTAGTTGTTCCTGAACTGTAACATTATAATAGTGTAATAAATTAAAATATGAATGCCCATTAACTTTGGTTACTATAGTAGAAAACTTACCTTGACTTTAGGTTAGTAATAGAAATAACGAAACTGCTTATTATTTTGTTTAAAAGTTCAGATCAAAGAAATAGTTTAAAAGAATCAACCTAATAGTGAATCAAAACGCACTTGTGAAGTAGTATAGCGTCAAGACAGGTTTCAACGTGTTTTAAATTTGAAGATTTTCGTCACTGTGTTAGGCCCGCCATATACATACGGAATTCCGTTTCGAGATTCCGTTTCGGAATTTCGAACGGTCGGCCACACACAAACGGAATCCCGTTTTGCCCGCAAAATATCGAACGGAAAACTACCGTACGTGTGTGGCGGGTCATAGATTTTATATGGACTTGCTGCGTTCGGGATTCCGAATCGGAATATCGAAACGGAATCTCGAAACGGAATTCCGTATGTATGTGGCCGGCCTTATACCTTCTTTACTTACGTTACGAATATTTTGAAAATTAACTATTCGTAATGTGTATTTGCGTAAACTGATTCTTCAAGTAAAGAAACACGTATTATCGAACGACAAGGTAAGTGAAACGTGAAACTAAATTACCTACTTGAATCGTGTGATGTGAACAAAAATAATTAGGTGGGCAGTATTTTAGCACTAGAGACTTGAGTAAAATACTATACTAATTATTTTTTTGGGTTTGATTGAATGCATTGACTTCTTAAATAAGTTAAATTACCTACTGGATGTTATTAAGTTTGATGACAAGTTGTATCATTTCAATTAAATACGTTATGGGTGGTTATGCCTAAATCTTAAATTTCCTTCTCAGATTTTTTTCTTTTTTCGTGCTTTAACTTTTGTTTAGATTAGTTTTAGAGCCGTGGTAGCTCAGATGGTTAGCGCTCGCTGTAAGCTTCACAGTACTCGAGCAACCCGGGTTCGATCCCCGCCAGCACCAATGAAATTGTTAATTGCAATTTTAAGTGCTGATTTACCACGTGCTCGGCGGTGAAGGAAAACATCGTGAGGAAACCTGCATGTCTGAGAAATAAGAAAAAAATTTTTTCGAAGACATGTGAAGTTCGCCAACACGCATTAGGGCAGCGCGGCGGACATTTCCTTGCCCTAAAACCCTCTCAGAAATGAGAGGAGGCCTGTGCCCAGCAGTGGGACGTAAATAGGCTGCAACTTTAACTTTTGTTTGGGTGGCGGTGATTTGGATTTGTATAGCGCTTTTATTTCGCTTCCAGAAAATTGAGGAGATGGCTGAACTTATACCATCCAATGGTTTAGTTGACTACTCTGATTCTACACATTGCTCGTCTACCGACCAAAACTCTGAAGTAGAAAAGGATTTTAGTGGATGTGACTGTGACCAGTCTTGGCATATTCCTATCAGAAGAAAAAAGAAAAGGCAAGTATTTACAAGTATGGACGACTACACTTGCCCATCCACGTCTGCTATTCAAATTCCTACGACGATAATTGAAAGTTCGGACTCAACCAAAGAAAGTTCTGATAGCACAGAAGAGGACGACTCTGGTATCGTTGGTAAAAAGGGTATGCGGAAGAAACGACCACTATCGAAAAAACTAAAAGAAAGGTCTGAGAGGTGATCTGGAAAAGGAAAATCTGTCAAACCTAATCCCTGCTTAGGTAAAAAATGCGGGAATGACTGCGCTATTAAGTTTACTGAAATCGAGAGAAACTGCGTCCATGAACTCTATTGGGGTCTTGGATCCTTACAAAGACAAAGAGATTTTATTTTATCTTGTATTAAGGAATGTGAAATAGGTCGAAAAAGAGCAGAAAGTGATCGTCGAAAAATAAGTTACAATTATTACTTACCAAAGGGCAGTGAATCGGTTAAAATTTGTCAACAGTTTCTTTTGAAAACCCTTGATATGTCGCAAATGACACTGCGTTACACTAAATCACATAAAATTGCAAGTTTTATGTCAAAACCTGACCAACGCGGCAAACGAACGCCTTTGAATAAATACAGTCAATCTCAAACTCAAAATGTCAATAGTTTTATAAAAAAGTTGCCTGCCGTTCAATCACACTATTGCAGAAACAAAAGTAACAAATTGTACTTACCAACTGAATTTAGGGATGTGACCTATTTATATAGAAACATTTATTTGAAAGACGATGATACGAAAGAGTTAGGCGCAGTAAGTTATCAGAAGTTTAGAAAAATATTTAAGACTGAATTTAACTTAGGGTTTCACTTACTAAAGAAAGATAAATGTGATCAATGTGAGAGAATACAGAATTTAAATGATGAAGAAAGAAAAAAAGCGATAGAATCAGATGCTTACAAGAATCACATTAAGGACAAAGAAACATCATTAAAGCTATTTCTAGAGGATCAAAAAAGAAGCAAAGACAACAGAAAATTTTTGTGTGAAAGCTTTGATCTTGACAAGGTCTTAACAACACCTCGCGGTCAAAGTGTAAATTTCTACTATACTCGAAAGCTTGCCTATTATAATGAAAGCATTTATGAAAGCGGTACCAGATCCGTATTTTGTTATCTTTGGAACGAAACGGAAGCGAAAAGAGGGTGTAATGAAATCTGTACTATTATCTTTAAATACCTTAAAATGGTTGACGAGAGAAGGACCCAAAATGAAGTTGCATTATACTGTGACAGTTGCGCAGGACAAAATAAAAATAAAGCCATGATTGTAATGCTCTATTATTTCATGCAATATCATGCGAGTTTTGTTGAAAGGTTGACTATAAACTTCCTTATTCCTGGACATACCATGATGCCAGTAGACTCTGTGCATGCAACAATAGAAGGATTTATACAGAAAAGAACTATTTACGCACCATCTGAATGGCAAACTGATTGGAAATGCTCGGACAAATCCCAAAAAATATGAGACAATACTTTTAAAAAATAATGAAATTAAAGATTGGAATTCCTATGCAACAGCCTTCTTACCAAACAAAATTAAAATACAAACAAGCAAGCTGCATAACGCTAGATTTGAAAAAGGCGACAAGTTCTATCTTAAATACGACTATGATGGATCCGTACAAGCTGTTGATGTGTCTCTTATATTGAGGTCTCGGCAGAATCAACAAGCTATTCATGAACCTAAAACTACTTACACTGAAAAAATTCCCATCTCGAAGGCGAAATACGAAGATTTAAAGAAAATGTGCGAAAAGGGTATCATACCAGAATTTTATACAAAAGAATATCTGGATTTGCCCTGTGATAGAAACACAAGAGACGCTTTACCTGAGACTGATGAAGACGAGGACTGATGACTCTTTTTGTATTTCATTTTATTAATAAAGCTCAAATTCACTTAGAAGTACCTCCAATTTTTTTTTACCTTTTTGTATTTCTGACTCTGTCCTTTTCTGCCTGGCATGGTATCTCGTAAAAACAGTTTAAAAAAACACAAAAAATAATATTATTTTAGAAATATTATATAATAGAAATATTATTTCTACTATTTTGTGATATTTAAGAATTATCGTAATCGACATACTCATATCAGCTCTACATAATAACGGTCATCAGTTTTAACGTAAGCGACAAATGTATGTGATTTTATAGCACTAAGTCAAATCTTAACATTTGAATTAATAGGGAGGTGCCCATATAACACCAAGTAAAAATTTCAAATTCATGCTGTAAATATTTTGAGACATATTTAAAAAAAAACATTCTCCTGTAAAATATGCAAAATGGCGGTTACGATCTTCTTCCTGAAAAGGCTCGATATAAGTAGAAAAATTAAAAAAAAGTTAAAAATGTTCAAAAAAAATTAAAGAGCAAACCACTGACACATTGTTTTGTGTATTAATTTAATACTCTATAAACTTTTATTAAAAACAAACCATGAAATTACACTGTAACAAAAAACTACCTCAGTGCAGACTAGCGACATCTGGTAAACAGAAAATTATTAGTCCTCATTCGAATGACTAGTTATTGCGGCAAATTGTAGATGGAATTATTAAGCGTCTACTTAAGTCACCGTTACAGAAATCAATAAAATAATTTACTATGTTTTTATCTAACCAAGCTTATGGCCTATCGAAGTCTGGAAGAAAATCTTCACACCTAATTTAAAACTAAACTGACTAGTTATTGTGGCAAATTGTGGATGGAATTATTAAGCATCTACTTATGTCACTGTTACAGATATCAATAAATATCTAATCCAGCTTATAGCCTATTAGATTTTGGGAAAAAAATAGAGTTCATAAAAAGCCCCGTCGGCCAGCTGTTGACCCTTTGGGTTCCGTTGCCCTATGCCGATGGTGTCGGAAAGCTCTTCCGCTCTCTGACCCGAAGGCGGACAAACTGGCGCAAAAATGCATGAGGTTCTCGGACCTGAACGTGCGAATTACCCACCCAATCAAAACAAGCGTCGCGCGGTTGAGGGACCATCACCGCTGAAGAGATTTCAGCAGTGATGGCTGAAGCAGATAATCCATTAAAATTTTGGACTGACGGCAGCCATTTCACCAGAGACCCTTCGCAAATTTTCGTTGTTCATAATAACGTAAGCATTTGGTGCCTACTGCATCCTCAGTTTCATCAGAGAGCACCAGTTTTTAATCTTAGCAATCTGTGTACCACATTTGACAATCTTATTTATCGGCTTTTCACTGAAACAATATGATTTCATAAAAAGAAATTAAAACTATATACAGTATGCTACCTAGCTACTTAAATAGAACTTGTTTTTAGCAAAAGATTTATTGTGATACTAGCGACCCGCCTTGGCTTAGCCTGGTTAGATCTATCAAAGTGAAGACCATTTATATCAATTTTCCGTTTTATACAAAAAAGATTTTCACATAACATACAGCCTAGATCGATTATTCCGTTTATCCGCCCTAAAATAGCCAATTCCGATACTCGGAAACGCGTGTTCATCCGTATATTATTTGTAGTCGTTTCTACCCCGGGCTGTGTACAGTTATTTATAGAAACATAGAAACTGGCCCAAGATACTTAGATGTCTATTGTTACATCGAATGAGCAATTAAATAAAACTATTACAGCTTTGACCTTATGAGCAATTATGAATGTATTTTTGATAGGTTTACTATTAATAGACTTGACGACATAGGTAATCACCGATCGTCCTGCAGTGTGCATGCTCCATGCAAGATGTTCGGTTCACACAGTGCTCAGTGCGTAAAAGTTTTCCCTGGTCGCCCATAGAGTAGGCCGGATGAAAAATCTCCAAAATTATGCTGAAGACGTTTTTAGCCACAGTTGGCATCGACTCTTCCGCGTCTTTTCCGGTACTGTTTGGCAATGCAATGCTCATGGAAATGATGATGATGATGAGGATGGATATGCTATTAGCATAGGTACCTATAAAAAATAATATATTTCTTGTTTGAAAGGCCAAAGCCGAAATAGTTTAAACTTATCATTCAATGTGACTATGTCATTCTAGAGATATCTTATAATGACAGAAATGAATTATGTGATTACTTTCCTCGCTTTAACGGAAGAGTGTCATGTCTAACTTTGCAACTTTTATTGGTTGATGAAGAATATTAATTAGAATTATCTTAAAACAATTTAAAATAGTACACAACAGAGAGATTCAAACTGAGTAAGAGAGAACAATAAAATGATTTAAGAGCTTTTAAGCACGAATGGCAATTAAAAAAATATTGTATTAGTTTTAGTTTTTTATTCCTTACAATCTAATGGTTCATTTTTTAGTCTTAGCTTCCCGAGCTGCTTTTTTCTCGGCAGCACGTGCAAGCTGTTTGGCAGGTTTCAGGTTCCCCTTTTTGCAAAACCGTTGATTCCTCAAGAATTTGGGGTCCATCTGCAAAATAAACAGTACATATATAGATATAGGGACTACATCAACATAGTGAAGTATGAAGAACTTATCATTACAGCCTGTCACAAGTACACACTTGAACCTATTCCTAATAATATAATAACTCAAATTCAAAATTTAAAAAACCCCCGAAAAAAACAGCTGAACCGATTTTCATAAAACATGTTTAAAGTACCACTGCTAAAAAACCTGCTTTTAAATAAAAAAACGCACCCAAATTGATTCACCCATTTACTAGCTACGGTGCCACCGACTGACCGACAGACATATACACATAGCAGTCAAACATATAACACCCCTCTTTTTGCGTTGGTGGTTAAAAAGGTACAATTGGTTAATGTTTAATTCCTTGTCATACTAAACTAAAAACTAGAAATTACTATAGATGTGTTAGAGATTCGAATTAATACTACCATTTTTTAAGCTGTTAAGGTGAACTTTTTTTTTATAGGAGAGGGGGCAAACGAGCATGTGGCTCACCTGATGGTAAGTGACTACCGCCGCCCATGAACAACTGCAACACCAGGGAGGGAATTGCAGATGCGTTGCCGGCCTTTTAGAAAGGTGTAAGCTCTTTTCTTGAAGGTTCCTAAGTCATATCTTCGAACTTAATAAGCAATTTCTTTGCTGCAAAGGACTGTCTTCCCAAAATTTGCATTTATTTAATTATCAAACAGAAGGTGCGATAATACTCCTTTAGTTTTTATTGAATTTATCTAATTATTTACGCAATGGCAGATTTACAATTATTATCAACCGATTTTCTCTCTCTCAATACGTGATAAACAATGTATGTATTTAGCTATTATAAAGGTATTCTGTGTTTTTGTCATATATTTTCTACTATATCGAAAGTTATTGTCAGAGTATATTAAATATGTCTATTCTTATCTTATTCCATATCCTTTTTTGTCGAATTGTATTTGTATACAATATCACGTTTTTTTTTAATTTTGTCTATATGGCCCAAAGAGAATATAACCACTACCGTCTACCATAGATAAATATATATGTAGCAAGCTACTAGCTTGCTACATATATATTTATCTATGGCCACTACGTTTAAGAGGCGGGACTTCCTAAGAAAAAGTAAATGTATGACATTGCGCCAAGCTACTCTACCAACATCAAGACATGATATTTAATTTTTGAGAAACAGTGCTGACAACATAGGCGATTTATAATGATGCTGTAAATATCTGTAAAAAGGAGTACGCTCTTTTCTTGAAGGTCCCTAAGTCGTATCGGTAATCGCTTATGGTAATCGATTCCACAAGGAAGTCGTGCGAGGAAGAAAACATCTAAATCGCACAGTGGTGGACCGCCAATCATCCAGATGGTGTGGATGGTATCGGGAGTTCTGCCGCGATGAGCGTTCGTAAAATTTGGCGGCTGGGATTAATCCGAACAATTCCTCAGAGCACCCCATGGTAGATGCGAAAGAAAATGCAAAGGGATGCAACATCTCTTCGCAGTGCCAATGAATCGAGCCGATCGGAAAGGGCTTGGTCGTCGACGATTCGAGCCGCTCTGCGTTGGATGCGGTCAAGTGGAAGGAGCTGGCACTGGGGAGCCCCTGCCCAGAGATGGGAACAGTATTCCATGTGAGGCCGAACCTGCGCCTTGTAAAGTTGCAGTCGGTGTGCCGGCATGAAATACTGTCCCGCTCTGCTGAGCACGCCAAGCTTTTTAGAGGTCAATTTGGCCTTCTCTTCCAAGTGACCACGAAACTGCACGTCACTCGATATGTCGACTCCGAGGATACCGATACTGGCTGAGGCAAGAAGGGGAGTGCCTTGAAACCGAGGAGATACGACAAAGGGGTTCTTTTTAGCGGTAAACGCGCAAACTTGTGTCTCTGAGGATTAAACTGGACTAGATTTAGTCGCCCCCAATTCGAGACTTTGTTCAGCAAAGACTCGACTTCAGACACAAGTTTGTTCCGGTACTCGGCGACGTTTTCCCGAGAAATATTGGCACGGCCGGTGTATAGCGCATCACTAGTGCTGTCGTCCGCATAGCAATGAATGTTACCAGTTAGCAACATATCATTGATATGCAGAAGAAACAGCGTTGGTGATAGCACACAGCCTTGTGGAACACCAGCGTTAATAGGCTTGTAGTCAGAACATGCACCGTCTACAACAACCTTGATGCTCCGATCTGCAAGGAAGCTGGTGATCCAATTGCATAATTTCTCGGGAAGCACATTGGAAGGGAGCTTCGAAAGAGGCGCTTTGTGCCAAACCCGATCGAAGGCCTTCGCAATGTCCAGACTAAAGGTAGACCAGAAGATCACCAGCTGATCGACCCCAACGAAAACCGTATTGGCGGTCACTAATCAGTTGGTGATCCTCAAGGTACCGGTTGAGCTGGCAGTTAATAATGGATTCCATTATTTTGGAGAACAAGGAGGTGATCGCGATAGGCCTATAGTTGGACGGGTCTGAGCGGTCGCCCTTTTTAGGGATCGGGTGGACAAAAGCTGTCTTCCATGAATTCGGGACTACGCTTTGGGAGTAGGAGTACCGGAAAAGACGCGTTAGGACCGGTGCCAACTCCGGAGCACACGTCCTCAGCACAATTGGGGGGATTCCGTCAGGCCCACTCGACTTCTGGATGTCCAGGGAGAGAAGTGCTTTGCGAACCCAGCGCTGAGAGAACAGCACATCCGGCATGGAGCACTCACACCGCGGGATGGTCGGCGGTGTTTTCCCCCCGTCATCAAGAGTCGAGTTGGACGCAAAAAGAGAGCCTAAAAGGTCAGCTTTGTCTTTTGCGTCTTGGGCCAGTGTGTCGTCCTCCCTGTGCAGAGATGGTAGTGATGGCTTACAGAAATTCCCTTGAACAGCCTTGGCGAGAGACCAGAATGCACGGGTTCCCGAAGGAAGGCGAACTAGTTTCTCGCCAATTCTGCCTATGTGCTCTGACTTTGCCTTGGCAATAACTCTTTTGAAGGACCTGGAGGCGAATAAATGGTAAATTTAAAACAGTCAAAATAGAAAGGTACTTAGACATAATTCCACTGGTCATAATTTATGAAAATATAATGATGGTGTTAAACCTAAAATAAAGAAACAAGCTTTTTACTAATAACCACAGGCTGCAAGGTGAATTTATGTACGTAACACCAGATATATAAAATACCAGCATAACCACAGGTTGCAAGGTGAGTGTATGTATGTATAGCATAAGTAGGCCTTGCAAATATTCGAAAATTTATGGTATTCGAATATTCGACTTTTTTCGGGTATTATTCGAATAATAAAAAAAAAACAAAAGTTGTTATAATAACCATGTTTTAATAGCCAATTTCTTAAGCTGTTTGGAATTTCACTATTAAGGAACTAATGCAGTTCTACAAAAAAACTATAAAAAGTTGGTGCTTAACAAGACAACCACAACAGTTATAAATCGAGATCTGGGTATTGTAATAATAATTATATAATAATAAAAACAAATAGTCAACTACAAATACAATATGCTTAAAAACTTTTATGTAACTAGAAATAAAGTACATACTAAATTCTTAATATTATTGTTGGTATTTCGTACTGTCGCACATGATGCACATAACAAACTTACATATTGCTTACTTACAAAACTTAAAAATTTTAAAAGAAAGATTTTCAACTGTGATAGAATACAAATAATTAATCAGTATTAGAATTTATGAGATCAGAATCAGATTAGCGCTATATTGTACAAAAATAAAATATGTTTTAATCTTATCATCTCACTTACTACACGTACAACTCAAGTACCTTCAAAGCAAGAGTGAATAGGTATCTTCTACGTAAGCACATTCCAACCTACACCTCATCACTGCTTTCTTCTAAGCATGATTGTCGTCAATTGCAAGCCTATCCTACAATAAAAATAAATCTTCAACGTTTTCCCTGGAAGTGGAACCTAAGGAAACTTAGTGCGTCTAGGCAATCATCTTTTAAAGAACATCTTAAATGGTTGTAAAATGTATTTTGCTGATGAAAACACCGTTTCACACCTACACTTGTAGGTGGTATACACATGAGGAAGTCATACCCTTGGCTCAAATGGACTTGTCTAGAACCTCCTCTGTCAAATAGCGACATCTGCATTCGTACTGACGTTTCTAACTCTTCTCTATCTGATGAATTTGCTGTAGACGTCGAAGGAGTGGCGGAATTAGTGTCATTTATCATTTTTTGTAACTCTTCTTTAAAGGTCATTTCAGATGTTTCCTGGTGTGATTCGTTTTGTTGCTGATGTTGGCGTTGCCATTGCTGAAGTTGAACTAAGGTTATGTCATCTTCGTCATTATCTGAGTTCTGTCTTTTAGAAAAGTATCTCTCGTTAATCTCAGTTATTACTTCTGTATAATGTTATTGCCTGGTGATGGAAAGGTATATGAAGGTGGCTCTGCGTAATATTTACTGGGATTTTGGAGATATTTTAATGTGCAGATTAAATTTGGTAGGCGTCTCTGCAAGTCCATTCTGCAATTATATTCTTCAGCACTTCGAGTAGCCTGTCACTGATAAAACTGTTTGTCTTTTCAAATTTCACAACCATAAATTGCAGGGCTGTTTCCACAGTAAGCAGATTTGCATTTTCTTGGCACAGCGCCTCTACTGTTGCCTTTACAATATTTAAAGAAGTGGACAATTTCTGCAGTAAAGCCAGCTCACCTGAACTAAACATGGTACCGTACTTTAAATCAATAAGACTTCAATATAGGGTCTTTAATCCCAAAAATCTTGTGATCATATCGGCTAAACTGCTCCACCTAGTTTTAGTCTAAGATCAAACCCATTTTATTCTGTTCTTCTTGAAGAGTCTTCAAGAAGACTATATAGTCAGAATCTCTTTTCTAGTAGGGACTTCCTAAAAAATTTAACTCACAAAACTCACTCAAAAAGACTAAAACCTCGATAGCAAATAACAAAAAAATTATAACCACGCTCCGCCATCCGCACTACCCGCGCGCATTATGTAAATGGACGAACAAAGGCGCCAAACTATCAACACCGCCGCACTATTTCTCGAGTTTTCGATCGCTTCCAAGCTATGACGAACCCTGTCGGGTCGGGCGAAACACTGGCGCGGCGCGCCCTAAAGCTGGATTTAGTGCTCGACCGACGGTCAGCACGTACCATACGCGCTGACGGTACGTCCTGATCGTCGGTCGAGGCCAAGCGTTTAGTGCTTAACTGACGGCAAGCTTTGTTAGACTTGTACAATTACGAAGAAAAATGAATCCATTTAACTCTATAATAAATCCAGCCTTCGAAATGTCACGCGTGAACTTTAAAGGTAATATTTTCTGTATATTATTGTCAATATTACAAGTTTGACTTTCAGAAAATTGGTTGAATATTCGAATATTTGGACAAGGTATATTATTCGAATATTCGAATGCAAGGTCTAACACAACATAACACATGTTTATGAATTGAATATACAATATAAAAAATCCCTTGTTATTTGTTTTTTTGGCCCAACATGTGATGTTTTTAAAACATTTTGTAATTATAATTATGCTTTAACATATATATTTATATCTTCGTATTATGTATATTTACAATATTCTATTTAATTGGAAAATTTATATAATTCTTAAAATGAACATGGTAGGAACAAAACATAATCAAAACTTAAGAAAAATAATAAATTAAGAACATGAAGCAAATGTGATAATGATACTGCAGAACACTGAAAATAATTATCAAAAATCTTACAAAAAAATTAAAAATTAGTTACTATTCTAAGAGTTCCTGAATAACACAATAAATAGCAACCCTGAATACTGTGTTTGAAGGGAGGGATGCAGAACTACATTTATATTCTGCACTTATGAAAAAAAAATTTTTTATTTATTAAACACTAACAAGTATTTCCCAGTATCCTGCTGAGTGAAAGGTAGAGGAAAAATAGATTTAGGGTGTTGGAGAGCAAGCAACACCCAGTGTTGGGAATAAAAATTTTACAGCTTTGGGGTGGCCGTTGCATTTTTTTATCGAAGTGGATACAGTGGCCCATAGACATGTACAATTATCCTCCATTATAATTTAAAATGCAAATGTGTTCTTACCCTTGAGGACTAAGATGTAAAGCCTAATATCCAGTAGGAAGCATCTGTCGTTCTCTACATGGTACGGTACTCTACATTTTGTGCTTTGTTTCATTGATGCTTTCATTGACAGATAAAGAGGTACATTTTAAGTAAGTAATCAAATATTACAAGAATTGGACCCATTTACGCAAACAGGAACCAACCCAGTTGAGTGCAATTGAGTTAGGTACATAGATGGCGCTCAAATGACACTTTCTATCTTCCCAAAAAAAATTGTAGCTTTCTGACAACTAAAGACAGAGATACAACACTGTCACTTATGGAACCAATCTACTTTGGCCAACTTTAAAAAGAAGACCTATGCAGTATGGTTCACTATACAGTGCCGAATTTGAAAAAGGAGCATAGAATCATTAGGGTGTCTTGACCTTCACCTAATGATAAAAATGCTGCACAAAATTCACAGGTTTCGTCCAAAATAAATAGCGATGATTCTGTACAAGATCCAAATTTCGTATGTCATGATGAAAATAGTATGTTTGGTGATAAAAGCTCTGAAAAATCTATGTCATTGATAACAACATTAACAGAAGTCCATTTAACACCAGTAAAATAATGCAAAAAAAAAGATACTGAAACTGAATCTTCATACCAAGCAAGACCAACCAGAGGTAGAAAAATATATGATGGAGCAGTAAGAGACGACAGAAAGGAGGGACAGTACTGGTAACCAAAGCTATAAGAACTTTAAGAAGCAAATCATCGATTCCAAGGTTTAAATAGATTATAGCTACAATTGTGTAAAAAAATGTCAAGAAAAGATATCTACTGAAGAAAAACTTGTAGAATTTAATAAATTCCATTTGTTAGGTTCATTTATTGCCCAAAATATGTATTGAATAACATGCGTTAAAGAAAAACAAAAGAAACGCTAACTACTATGAAAAATTCAAATAAAAACAAAACATATTGTTGGGAATATTATTTGAATGACATACTTGTTTGCAAAAAATGTTCCATCATCAAAAAGGGTAAAAACTGCTGTATTCCATACAGTGAGAAAGAGAACCGGAAACCTTTTTACTGGAAAAGAGGCATTCTATCTTAGACTTCACGGCTGACAATGCATCTGCATTTTGATTCGCAGGCAAGCATAGATATCTATAGAAGTCTATGGGCCATGGCAACCACTTACCATCAGGTGGACTGTTAGCTTCCTTGTCATCCATATCTTTTAAAAAAATGCGGAATAATTGCCTTAAAGATAAAGCACAGTCAGCAAGAGGGTCATAATGTGTCTTCAACGGAACGGAGAAGTGTGACATCATCACCTTTGTCCAAAAGTGATATGAACTTGGTTTGACCCACAGGGAAACCCATTTCCGAGGCAAAATTAAAATAATTTAAAAGTATTGTGCACCTTATACCGAAAGATGCACAGGATATTAATAAAAAAAAAGCAGCAACGCTATAGAAGATGATATTGATGGTTATACTGGTGCTATTGATTTGAGGTAGAAGATGACAATGGAGATTTTTAACTTAAATTCTTTGTATTCTTTTTATGATTTTTGTATGTTGGTTGCAAAAAATGCTAAGCTAGATATTTCACAGCAATAAAACAGTGTTTAAAGTAAAGGAAACTAATTATTTTAAAAAATATAGAAATTGGAACCTACAATGTACAATTTGAAAAGGGACCAAGCTACAAATTTGCTTTTTGCCATATAGAACCAACCCGTTTTTTAATTATTACTTATAGTAAAATTTTATAAAAATGTATGAATTATGTATTCCTAGAAAGGCCTCGATGTCCCACATAAGTTTAGTAAATATTTATTTATTTTTTAATATGCTTCATATACATTTTGCACTTTTTTTCAAAAGTCCCATTTTTTCGAAATCAATCTGTTGTGGGTTAGTTCCTGTTTGCGTAAATGGGTCCAATTAATATCTCAAAAATTAATCGTTTCCGCTATTTATATTTTAACAGTATTCAAAACTACATCAATCCCTCAAAATAGTTAGAATCTTCAAATGGATTGAAGGGTTATAACAGTTGAGCCCAAAAGTCCCAGAGTACGAAAATGTAGGAACTTACCCCAAGGGTAGATTCATGCCTGAACTTCTTAGGTTTTTTGATACCATTTCGATGAGCTTTGCGATCTGAAATTAAGAACGCGAATGTAAGTAATTCAGCGTGGAACAGAGCTACAAATTTCACTTTAAAACAATTGTTTACTCACTTTGGTTATGATTCGTATGGTTCTTAGACTTAGCCATAGCGAATGTTATTCAGTTCTGGAAACAAAAATAATTTAATAATAAGTTACAACTTTCATATGAACAACTACACAAAACTAAGGAATGAAAATTCTTTCACGATTATAGAGATATTTATTGAAATAAAATACGATAATGAAACTAACCACTATTAGTGAAAACTTTAGAGCGAAAGAGAGAGAAGGCAGTTTACTAAAAACGTCAAACGAGTAGGGAACTGTCAGTGTCAATGTCAATTGTCACTTCTTCTTAATAACTAGCTTTACAGCTCTGGGATCTAGCTCTTCTGAGCCTGAAGTTACAATATATTATAATAATTATCCTTCATAGTATACTGCTTAACAATATTATTTTGATGCATCACATTGTGCAGCCCCTGGGAGATTTTGACAACTGGCAACTTGAGCCAGCGGACAGCTGATGGTTGGCGATGGTATCTCAAGGCGCCTAAGCAGACAGACACCTTATTTTGAGAATCACATCACCATCAGAGCACTTGTTTCATAGTTTCCACTAATAGTTCACATGCGCAGACACTTAATACACAAAATCGCATCACTTTTACATATCAAAGTCCACTTCAAACCATTATTTAAACAATACAGGAGCAGCAAACCGCCGCCGGTCAAGTTCCCGCCAAAAACCCCTGTCAATTGTCAACTGTCATTTAAAAAAGCGCGGGAACCTTGAAACGTGATAGGCGCCTTTTTTTAAACTAAAATTTTAATTTTGTTTTATTTAGTTCAAAGGCACTAAACTTTTATTGTTTATTGTTACTGGGTTTCCCCATCATGGGGAAACGTAGAAAAAAAAAGTTGCCGGGAGAAGAAGAAGTGTTTGAAGAAACGACTGAGGAGGAAGAAATTGATACCAGCACTGAGGAAGATCCTGAGAAAGAGCAGCGCAAGTATAAACCGTATTTTGTATCAGACTACAACAGGAGGTACCCTGAGGACTCTATTCTCGTTGATTTTGTTGTATTTGTCGAATCAAATGATGAAAAAAGGCCAATCGGCACGCGGGACATGATGTCTCTATCCACACATATGAAGAGGTTGGTATGTTAACGACTTATAGAAAGATAATATGTGTTAAAAGGATAATGAGGAAACATAAGAATGATGCAGGACGCAGTTTGCTGCAGCCGACGGGCACCGTGGCCATCACATTTGCTTCTAATGTTTTGCCGGACCACGTCGATCTTCATGGTTGGCGGTTCGTGGTAAATCAGTATATTCCACCAGTGAAGCAGTGCTACAATTGTTTGAGGTATGGTCACTTAGAAAAGTATTGTAAAAATTCTCAATTTTTACAATGCTCAATTTGTACTGAAAATCACAGCTACAAATATTGCAAAGTCTCTTCAGATAAAGCGATATGCATACATTGCAAAGGAAACCATCTAAGCATTTCTGGACAGTGTCCTGTTAAGAAACAAAAGATAAAAGAAAATCAGGCTAAATTACACAAAACCCCATTTGTAGACCTTTTTAATAAAAACGAATTCCCCGAATTAAACAAAAAAAAACCCAAAGATGCTCTTATGTCACTGCTAAAGAATGATGACATTATTAATATAATTTTAAATACAGTCATTAAAGTATTAACTCTTAATAAATCAAATGAACAAACCACCATATCTTCTCAGCTTATTAAAGATGTTCTCATAGATACAATGAAACCAAAATAGATATTTCATTATTTAACATTTAATATTTTATGGATCAGTTTAAGATTTTACAATGGAATGCACAGAGTTTAATTAAAAATCGCTTTCAATTTACACAATTTTTATATGAGAACACCATAGATGTTGCTCTCATATTTGAAACTTGGCTTAAACCTAGGCACAATTTTAGAGTAAAAGGATATAATATTATACGATTAGATTCAGGTAATGATCATAATGGAGTAGCAATACTTCTACATAACAAAATTGGATTTCGTGCTATCAATACATTCTCTGATGACTCATTACAAAATATAGCTGTACAAATACAATACAATGATAAATTATTAACTTTAGTTAGTGTTTACTGTCCCCTAATTCATCAATTAATTATAATAAATCCAAAGTTTGCCACAGCCAGTCTTTATAGCTGGTGATTTCAACGCCCATCACACGTTATGGGGATGTACTGAATTAGATTCACGAGGTAGGGACGTTCTTGCAAGTATAGATGACAACAATCTTGTAATCTTGAATGATGGTCAGATGACTACAGTAGGATCTCATAGATGGAGGCAGAATGCATTAGACTTGACACTTGTTTCATCTTCACTAGCTCTGTCTTGTGAGTGGCAAGTACGTAATGATGATTCTCTAGGCAGCTATCATTTTCCTGTAAAGACAAACATTACGGTTAATAGTCAAAATTTTCAAGAAACAGCTGTATCAAATAACATAAACTTAAAATTGGTAGATTGGTCAAAATATACAAATTTAATAGATAATTTAATTAAAAATTATAGTTTTGATTATAGTAATCCTTTACAATGTTATACAGACTTAATAGAACTAGTTAAACAAGCCATGCTTGAATCCACACCATCCAATCAGTTTTCTAATCGAAATGTTAACTTGCAATCTTTTAAAAGAATTAGAAAGAAAAATTCTCTACCTTGGTGGAATTTAAAATGCAAACAGGCAGTATTAAATTGTAAAAATGCATATTTAGTATTTAAGAATGATCCCACAGAACGAAATTATATTAATTTTAAAAGACTACAAGCTGTTAAAAAAATTACTTTGAAGACTGAAAGACATCTTAGCTGGAAAAAACTATGTGAATCTTTTAATAGAACTACTCCATTGACTAGAGTATGGAACTACATTAAAAAGTTTAACAAAACTTTTATTCATAATAACACATCTGTCATAGATTCTAATTGCGCTAATGAATTTTTGAAAAAATATACTCCAGAAACAGATGAATCACCTCTAACCCCTAACTCCTCAAATGATAATCATTGTGATTATCTTACCAAACCTTTTACCTTGACCGAATTCAACTCAGCTGTTAACTCTAGAAAAGACACTACTTGTGGTTTAGATTCTGTTCCATATAAAGCTTTAAAAAATATGAATACTGTGTGTAGAGAACTAGTTTTGAAAATATATAATATGTTATGGTTTCATTCACTTATTCCTAACGATTGGAAAGAAGATTGTTTGATAGCCATTTTAAAGCCTGGAAAAAAACCTCACATTGCAGAATCTTACAGACCTATAGCACTTACATCTTGTATGGGTAAAATATTTGAGCAACTTATAAAATCTAGATTAGAATTTTATCTAGAAAAAAATTGTCTTTTACTATCAAATCAGTTTGGATTCAGACGCCGTAAGTCATCTAGAGAAAGTATTGCATTTCTACATTTAGACATTTTTAAAGCTATTGAAAATAATGAAATATTAATTAGTATATTCTTTGACATTGTTGGTGCATTTAAGGGGCTACTCCATGCGAACGACCTTGAGCATTTGACCGGCGCGCCGTTCGCTACAATATTAATACGAGTATATTGTAGCGAGCGGCTCGCCGGAAGAAATATGTAAGACGCCACCTATTGTACGAAAGTAGTATTATTTTTTCAACATCAATAAACTATTTTATGGAAATACACATAGCGTACAAAGATAAATGTATTTTAATTTTTTTACTCTGTATATATTAGTTGCATTATATTAGAATTATGTATTTTCATATATTATCTAATTATGAAATTTTATAATTAATTATATAAACGGAAGCATTGAAAATTGTGAGTTTAAAAGATACCTATTCACTATAGGTAAATAAATAGATAACTCGGCTTTTGTACAAATATTTGGTGCAATAAAAAATATATAAATACAAAAATCAACAAGAAGTATAAGGGTTCAATCTTTCAATTTCAGTTGTAAAAAAACATTACACCCACACTAGGATTTTCTCCTGTGTCGTGGAGGCAGTTTACAAACATAAATTGCACAAAGACAAACATCCAGACCCGGAACAATTATTTGTAGGCCATACAAATCTTGTTCCATGCGGGATTCGAACCCGCGGCCCCCAGCGCAACAACTGATTGCTAAGCCACTGCGCCACCATGAAGCTAATACAAAGACTAACTTTGTATTTGCTTCATGGTCGCCGGGTTATAGCTAAAGTGACCATACGTCCCGTTTTGAACGGGACTGTCCCTTTTCTCGGTCTCCTGTCCCATTGTCCCCAAACAAAGCACCGGGACACAAAATTGTCCCGTAACTCGTTGGATGGAAGTATTCAAAGTCAACAATCTTCAACATAATTTTTTTTAATCGAATATATTTTATGTCTACCTGGTACGAATGCTCCGGTAGAAAGAGTATTTTTTTATTTTGCATAAATTTTGGACGTCTGAAAGAAACACTTACGGTTCCAGAGTTCTAAAGGCGATGTTGTTAACAAAGATAACAATAAAAAACTTGAGCAGAATTTTATTCTTATTTAAAATCATCACCAACTTTATTAAAGCAAATTTAATCCACTGACAAATGTAATTAATAATTAAAAAAAATATGTTGCATTTAATAATTACCGTCTATACCGAATATAATTTTATAGTGAACACTAATTGTATAAAGTTATAGTTTTTAGAGTATAAATAAACCCATGTCCTGTTATGAGTTAAAAAATAAATGGTCAGCTTAGTCTTTTTAGTTAAATTTAGTTTTAAAATTTTTTAGTTTATAGTAAAAAATAGGTATATTAGTACTTTTTACCGAGATATAAGTATAGAACACCTTATGTACTCAATTATTTTTTGAAAAAGAAGAAAAAACAAGCTATAAATAATATACTATATTTTAGCAAAAAACTATAACTTAGTAATACTAATTATAACTTAGAACATAAATGAAAAACTCATAACTGACTTTTTGGCCCAACCCAGGATTCGAACCCGGGACCTCATGATCAGCAGTCGCACTACTACAACCACTAGACCAACGAGGCAGTAGTATACCTGATAAGATA